TCATCTGTCTGTCTGTTTGTCTGTCTGTCTGTCTGTCTGTCTGTCTGTCTGTCTGTCTGTCTGTCTGTCTGTCTGTCTGTCTGTCTGTCTGTGCATGCGGCAAAATCAGTAATTTTCCGAATAAGTCGAAATGTCTTTTTTCTTCTTATTGTTTCTTTACAAATAAAAAAAATCAACAACACACGATCACAATATGAAAATTCATGTTTCTGATTAATTGTGTGTGTAGGTTCACAACGTGCCACTACGTTGCGTTTGGTCTGCCTACTGGTGGAACATACAATGTTATGTGACCGCTATATCCTAAAATAGTTCATATGACAATGTGTCCGCTATGTCCTCAAATAGTCAATAATTGAAATGTTTTATTTCGGCATCTTCCCAGACCCTCTCCTTCTTTCACAGCACAGGGCGCCACGGAAGTTGGAGTTGTAGTTATAATAAACGAAGAAGTTGGCCGCGCTGTTCAGACAACCGAACAACAATCGAAGGCTGACGAGGGCGGCGTAGAGGTAATTGAGCTCCCCTCCCAGGTGGAACCCCGGAATGAAGAACCTGGACACCGCTACACCGATGTTTGGAACATTGCAGAAGATGTAGATAGCAGAGAGAAGCGCCACCTGCTTCACAACTTGCAGTTCTTTCCCACTCAGGGAGACGGCCGCAGTCGTAATAGAATCTATGGCGGATGTGACGTAGTCACTAGAATTAGGAGAAGTTGGCGCTGTCATTTCCCATCGCTTTTTTGATGATTTTTGAAGACACCTGACTAACACAGCAAAGCACACAACCCCGATGACTTCAGTAGCCAGTGATAAAAACCCATCGCTAATCAAAAGCTCAATATCTGTTGCCATATTATAGGTTTTGCTAAACCGGACTCCTGTCCTCGTAAAGTTTTGCCCTTTGGTCCCCACTTCAATGGTCACTACAGTAGGGAAGTGGTTCAGCAAGGCGAATGTTGTGAAACCTGACAGCGTGGCCACCGTGCGTCTTCTTGTAAACACACCTCTAAATTTCAGCGGCATGTAAACGCACATACATCTGGCCACGACTATGAATGTCGTAGTTAGAATGACAATACTGTGAAACATCTGTCGTATGTTAGCAAAATATGCCAGTATCACGAACGGGTTGAAGGATAGAATTGTCGTGTCTCTTACATCGATAGTTCTGACCACATAACATAAAGCTTGAATGAAGGCTGTTAAAACAAAACCGAAGGCCGCGATTGACTGATAGAACATGGACGTGGATACCGAGTCCTTCAGACCCATAGAGAAGAATACGTGGACGCTTATGCCGTTGAGAACGATACCGGTACCTGTGACAAGAAGCCAGACAATAGTGAAAGGCTGACAAAAGTATGTATTGTAATCTTGCGCTGTCAGTATATCATTGTAGCGCTTACCTTTTACCAAAAAGAAAACAGTTGTGTTTTCTTCTTTCAAGACCGACATAGTTTTTCGTAAAGCAGTCTCGCAAAAATGATCTATCTGCGACATCCAACGCTTTAAATTAAAGAGGATTCAATTGTCAATGCTCAATAATTACTATATTAACAATAGTTTTCAAATCTACATACGTAGATTTCTTTTTAACGTCGTATCTAAGACAAAACTATTACAACACAAATGCAGATGACTCTAGAAGGATTCAAATAGAATAAGATGTCTACGCCAGTCGATCTTTATAGGGATACTATACTCCACAACAATAACGTGAGATTATAATTCTCATTGACAAAGTTTTCTTATTTGTTTTTGTCTAGAACTTTCGACCTGGGAATAATGTGCTCTAGGTAGATTAGTGACGTATGATTGCTTTAATAAAATTTTCAACGCCTTCAAATCGTCGACATTGCCTTGCACTGAATTACTTTGTTAACAAAACTAACGCACGAGAATGAGCGCTAATGTTTGTTTGCTGGAAAATTATACATGTAGTAAGAGGAACATTATCAAAAGCTAGGTTTGAGAATTCATCTAATTAGGGAAAAACAATGTTTATGTTAGCATATAATATTTTCGTACCGTACAAGGTTTAAAAAAATAGTCTCGGTTTAGTGAAGACATAGCTTCGCACGTCTTGTTAGCATACTACTGTGCAAATGCCAAGCTACTCACGTATGAACCTTTCTTGTGAAGGCACACAGTCTCAAACTTGTTGGCTTTACTGTTTGCTTCGACGTATCTTAAATTAAAGGAACACGTTTGAATAAGATACCCGTTCTGATGTTTCAGCAATTACTGTCGAAATGATTAAGGGTTGTTGTTTGTGAGACTTGTTTGAAGAAAATGAGAAAGGGACGGTCATGTTTTCGTATCATTTTTCTTTCTCTGGTTCGGATAGTGAACTGGCTGGTCCTGATAACTAAGTACATGCATAGAAGGATCAGTCAGTCGGCCAGTCAGTCAGTTGGTCAGTCACTCAGTCAGCAGCCAGTCAGTCAGTCAGTCAGTTAGTCTATCTGCCAGTCCATCGAAGCCAGCCAGTCAGTCAGTCAGTCAGTTTGTCAGTCAGCCAGTCTGTCTGTCGGACAGTCAGTCAGTTGGCCAGTCAGTCAGTTCGTCAACCAGTTTGTAAGTCCATCGCAGTAGATTAATCAGTCAGTCAGTCAGTCAGTCAGTCAGGCAGTCAGTCAGTCAGTCTGTCGGTCAGTCACAGTTTAATTCGTCAACCAGTCAGTCAGTCCGTCAGTAAATTAATCAGTCAGTCAGTCAGTCAGTCAGTCATTCAGTCAGTCATTCAGTCAGTCTATCAGTTTATCAACCAGTCAGTCAGTCCGTCAGTAGATTAATCAGTCAGACCTAAGTCAGTCAGTCAGTCAGTCAGTCGGTCAGTCAATCAGTCAGTCAGTCCGTCTGTAGATTAATCAGTCAGACCTAAGTTAGTCAATCAGTCAGCTAGTCAGTCAGTCTGTGAGTCAGTTAATCGTCAGCCAGTCAGTCAGTTCGTCAACCAATTTGTAAGTCCATCAGTAGATTAATCAGTCCGTCAGTCAGTCAACCAGTCAGTCAGTCAGTCTGTCGGTCAGTTACAGTTTAATTCGTCAACCAGTCAGTCAGTAGGTCAGTAAATTAATCAGTCAGTCAGTCAGTCATCCAGTCACTCATTCAGTCAGTCTATCAGATTGTCTACCAGTCAATCAGTCCTTCATGGGTCAGTAAGTTGATCAAGCAGATCTCATTCAGTCACTGCCGCGGAATGTTTTGCTAATCATTTCGTTGGATAATTTTGTCTCAGGCTGAATCGACAGTTGAGTAACTGCATGGAGTGATAGAACTGATCCGTCACGGGTGAGTTAATAATCTACCAAACAGAGATCTAATTTTGTTTTGTTGTGTGTGTGTGTGTGTGTGTGTGTGTGTGTGTGTGTGTGTGTGTGTGTGTGTGTGTGTGTGTGTGCGCGCGCGCGCGTGTGCGTGTGTACAAGTCGAGTATGCATATATTTTTATTAGGCATGTATATGTAGGCCTATGCATGCAAGGCTCTGTCTGTCTGTCTGGTTTGTCTGTCTGTTAGTTTATCTGTCTGTCTGTCTGTCTCTATATATAATTGTTCGCCGGTCTCTCTATTTCTGTTTTTAAAAAAGGAGAGAGAGAGAGAGAGAGAGAGAGAGAGAGAGAGAGAGAGAGAGAGAGAGAGAGAGAGAGAGAGAGAGAGAGAGAGAGAGAGAGACAGACAGACAGACAGACATACAGACAGACAGACAGACAGACTTAGAGACAGACAGAGAGAGAGAGAGAGAGAGAGAGAGAGAGAGAGAGAGAGAGAGAGAGGGGGGGGGGAGCTTGTGTAACGATTAGACCATAAGATCAGTAAACTATTTGAAAGATAACGAAGTAAAATACGAATTCCTCGATGTGGTAATTGTAAAAAGAGAGAATGGCACACTGGAGTGTAAGGTATAGTATCTTTTAATACCATTTTATTTTGCTTACTGGAGACGTTAATTTGGGAAAGGTAAGTCTGTTCTGTAAATAAGACAAAAAGAGAGAAAAAAAAGGAAAAAAAAGAAAAAAGGAAAGAAAATAGGATTATAATGAGCAATTCACACGATCGCCTAACAGAGAAACATGCAATATTTCCTAACAGCATTAAATCTAGATATTAGAGATTCCAAATGACTATTTACTTCACAAAATTAATTACGATTAATTATCGTCGATACCTATGTTATTATTATTATATTATAATAGATCTACGTGTATTATTATACAATTATACTTCCGATTGTAAATATACCAAACCAGAATTGGACTGCGGTAAATAAAAAACAACCAAAAAAACAAAAACAAAACAAAAACCCTACCAAGCCAAAATAGTTTCGCATTTTACAGTGACCAAAACAAATATTCGATATTTCCTGACCAAGTTGTGCTGTTCAACAATGTTTATGTATAAATGTTTTAAAGATTATGAAAAATAATAGTTCAAATGTTTGTGTATCTTAAATTCTAAAAACGCTAAACTCATAGCTCTGTATGCCGTTGCCGACAGAAACAAATATGGCAGCCTAAGTGTAGTTTTCTGTGGTGAACGATAGCTTGGAAGCCCCGACAATTCAAACATCAGCAGGTATACCTACATTTACATGTTTAATTATTGATTGATAGTGACATCGGTATTCTTATGCTTGAGATGGATAGGTGTGAAGTATTTTTTAACAAAGATAATGTTTGAATGAAAAGAATCGTGAATGAAGAGTATTAAGTCGAGGTTTTTGTTTTGTGTTGAATTGATTGAGTTTGAGTCGCAAATCAAGTCGATTCACCTTTTGTCTCTGCCTATTTGATAATGGATATTTTAGGGATTTATGGAAGCACATCACACTTAAGGCTATCTTAAGTTTGCGAAGGTATTATGTCCTGACTTTAAGTCTAGTCTCAGAGCAGAAACGGATTAAAAAAAGAAGTAATTTGGTTTGTTATTGTTTCCTACACTCACGATGATCTTCACTAAAATTCCTGTCTAATGAAGATAGGCCTAATGCTCAGACGGAACAATTTAGTTTTTGGGGTGGAACTTAAGTATTGGGTTAGGCTTTAGGAGCAAGATAGGGCATATGTTAGAGTTAGAGATGTGGTTTAACTCATTCGCTACGCCGAGCCGTGGGGGGCGGCGCGGCTAATAAAGTGCCGTCAGTACGCTAAACCGCCCCCGGCAGCTCGAGAACCGATCTTCAATTTTAGCTTAGATTCTATTCCAATCCACATAGCCATGTTAAAATAAAGGTCATAATATAATGTTGACTTCCGGGTCAAGCATTTCCATGAAAATCGGAAATTTAGATTCAGTTTTGAAACGCGATTTCGTAGTTTATTCGACTTTGTTTTATCGTGATGCCAAAATTATAGCCCGGACACCAGTTTTTGTAATTTTACACAACAAAATCTTTCCTTATTTTGCCCACTAAAGAAGTGTAGGACTCTTTTTTATAATATTGATACGATTGGACTCATATTGCCAATGACTGTTATTGAGAAATCAATATTTTTGAGTGCAAGATATAATCTAGGTCTAGATCTAGATCTAAATAGTCAAAATATTTTGTTCTCCCCAAAATCACTACTTTTTGATGTAAACACAAAAAGTGCCACTCAAGACATGTATAAGGTTTATTCCAAATGCAATGCTGAATAATTCCATATAAGATACGAGAGGGTTTTTTTTTCTGTTTGTGATCGTTTTTCAAGATTATAATTTTTTTTTTTTTTTTCAATATCGGATGTGATGTTCAAAATGTACAAATATTATGGAATGTAGGTAAATAACTGCAAACTTTTCAATATTTTCCAGTTCTATATTCATTTATGGTTATTTTGATGAATCATTTGACCAGGTGCAAACTTTTTTTAAAATTTCCACCAAAGATTATAAATTTTTTTTTTTCAAATTTTATCCGCATCCAATCAAAACTGTGTTGCATAATCGTCTCTTACAGGAACCAAAGTTGAAAAATACATAAATAAACATTACAGATGTATTCTACAAACCATACTGAAAATATCGATATATAATACGTTGATATTTATTTGAATTTGTGGCCCCAAAGACCTTTTAACTGCCCACTAGTCATAATCTCTTTCGCTCTCCCGAAAAAGAATTCGTTCACAAGCCGAAAATAATACGGAGCGAATGAGTTAATGGTAAGTCGTTTAAGATCATGCCACAATTTAATAATATAGAGATCTAGACCCAATTAATTTTAATAGATATGTCATGATGCGGTGGAATCAGGCGCTTGTCAATTTTGAGGCATATGGAGTTCTTGGTATAATACATCATCTTAAAGCCTGTCCATTTGCCTTGCTTTTGATGATCTTGGATACAAGTCTAGATATTTGCGATTGGAGGAGGTGGGGTCTTCTGGTTTCAGAGGTAAAATTAGCGAAAAAATGGCGGCCAAAGTTAGTTATTTCCTTAGCTTGAGAGCCCGTGTAAACTGAAAATTTACATCTCTTATGCATTTAATCAATGTTTCTCAGTAAAATCCACACTGAAATGTGTTTTTAATGGGCATAATTAAAAATAAGGTGTTGACTTGAGCTGAAGAACAAAAATTCTATAAAAGTTAAAAAACATGCGGAAAAATGCTAGTTTCTTCTCTTTTATTATTTTGACGTGTGCCTGATTTCACCACGATGCCTCACATACTGGGAACAGTAATTTTAATTATAACCCTCGTCCTGCCGGGGCTGGGTTTATGTCGCCCGATTAGCCTATTTCGGCACCTCGCCTGCGTTCTGGTCCCATGTCAGTCTAGCCCTTGGCTCAGTGCACGTATGTGCCGAGCACCATCTTCCCATGAATTCAGGTCCTGAGTCGGGTCCGCATTCGCAAGTGTGTGCGCGTCAGTCTGCTTGAGTTTCTGTACGTTTGTGGCCTTCTTCTTGAACCGCCTGCGTTGGTTCGTAACTGAGGCATACGTCTCATTCAAAACACGCCCAATTGGTAGCTCTAGATGTTCATCCAATGAAATTATAGAAGAAATTGACCCACTTAGACATGAGGAGATTGGAAGGATAGTCAGGAAACAAGACTTCAACTTTTCTGTACAAAATCTTTCAAATGAGCTGGATTTTGTATGAAATGATACTACCTGATAAAAAATAAGCTTGTTTGATAGTTTTGAATACCATTGTGCAGGTACGAAGAATAATTTGAGTGCAAAACATTCGGAAATTGACCTATATTATCCCCTTTCGAACCTCAGGTCATTCATAACAACAAGAGCGTCTAGAAAGGTTATTCGAATGGGTGTAACTACTCGTAATGTCTTATCAGTTTGTGAGAGGGGGTATTCATGTGTTTGTATCACTTTATAATAGAAAGCTATGAAAGATAGAGCATTATTTTCATCATCGATTAACCCACTCCCGCGGTATTCATGGCGAAAACACACGTTTCCTGGCGCGCACGCTATACATCAACAGTACACACTGAGTGACCCCGGCGGTCTGCCCGGAACGTCCGACATAATCGGTTGCTGATAAGATTCGCCTCTCAGCACAGACGCAGGATAAGAGTTAAGTTGTCCAGTTTGTGCGTGACTTCAGGCTGATCATCGTGGAAATAGTTATTTATTAAACAGTAAACAATACAGTCCATTATATTTGAGACCCCGTTTGAATGTTTCCACAAGATCTGAAAAGTTCCTGATTTTTTTATGCAGCCAGTCGGCACCTATGTTTATAATTAGCACTTTTTTATTCCGGATCCTGCCCCCCTCCTTCGGGAACTCTCCCCTCCCTTATCTGAAGTTTAGATTCCACTGATCCTGCAGGATGGGCGTTACTAATTTTCTTCACTGTCAATGTAGTTCATTGTGCTACCTCTCTTCGCTGTTTGTTTCGGCAATTTTGGTTTTTCAGTTTTTAAATTGTTATAAGCGCAGGAGCCCCACACCAGTCTAAGATGATTATGAGTGAAGCGTTGAAGTACTGAACCTGATTTTGCTGATCAGAAAGGCACAAATATTTATAATAACTATTGTGTTTTTGCAGCCAACATACTCGAGAGTAGACTCTAGGGGCTGCACAATTTGTTATTCCTCAACAGCCCCTCAATATTCTTATACATTAAAAAATTTTTCTGCTAGTCTTTATAGTTATAGAAACTGCTCATAATTTGCATCTGTTACACATTCACTATTAACTATCGCAAATAAGATAAGATAGGAAGAAACAACTACTACTTTTTGTACGCATCGACTTATACCGAGCAATCACTCAGTTTCTTCTTGAGAAAATATCTTTTATAAGATGCAGGAGGTCCTTGTAATGTAAAACTTACCTTCTTGTCGTTTGTTTTCTCTAGCAGGTGTTGACGGCACCTTGAAGGGACATTCTTTGCAATGGCTGGCAAGAAAAAGAAAGGAAAGGGAAAGGGGAAGGGGAAGAAAGGCAAGAAGGGAGGGAAGTCAAAGGAGCCTCAGATGACTGCTCAAGAAGCCATTCTTGCTTATCAGTAAGTTGATCTGTCTTTATTTAGACTATAGGTATGAATGAACCGATTCAGCACTATGAAATATTTGTGAATACTAATCTTGCATCTCGGTACAGAGAGTTTTTTTCAGAAGACCGACGCTGTCAAGTGATATTTAATTAGCTCCAGCATTAGTTGTTTGTTTTTACACTTACGTGCTCACCTGAATATTCTTACGTTGATGTTTTTTAATGTACTGGGAATCATTTTAACTGCTAGCCTACATTTTGGCGATTTATAAAGTAGAAATAAATATACTATTAGGCCTACTATTGCTACAACTACTACTACTACTGCTACAAATACTGCTAGAAATAATAATATAGTAATAGTATTATGATGATAATAATGATAATATAATAATAATAAAAATATTGATAATAATGATGATAGTAGTAGGTTGCATTTATACAGTTGATTTTCTGGCCAAAAATAGGCTTTTGCAGTCTTTTATTTCCAAAACACACCACAATTATAATATAAAAGATATTCTCCATTTCCTGGAAAGCATGCAGAGTGCAAGCTGCCATTCTACAGACATTAAAATAGTAGTGTACTGACATGACATGACCTTTCATTGTCTTAGCTGGGAGCCTACTAGTACTACCATATGGGTGATGTGAGGAAACTTTGTACAAAGTCTTGTTTAAAACATGAAAAATAGAAATGGCTGCAAGTCTGACAACCTAACTGCGAGACTACCAACATCATGTAAAGTTCATATTATGCACTTTTTTCCAGGATGTTTATCTTGCTATCAATGTGTTCGTAAAGTGATTGAAGTAATATTTTTCTCTAATTCAAGTATTTTAAAGAGTTTCTCTGTTTGGTGTGGTTTTAAAAATGATGCATTTTGAAAAGTCTGTCAGTTTGTTTGTCTGATATAGAAATATCTTCCAGTACTGTAGAATGGTCCTTGTCATTCTTTTCAGAATCAATGTTGTGGAAAAGAAGTTAGAGGATGTGTCCTATGAAATCAGAGGATGGGAGGAGAAGAACAGAAGAAATGTGGACAGGGTAAATTATGATGTTTTGTCAGTCAGATGTAACATTGTATGTATAAAGTATGATGTTGAAGAGTTTGGTGGTGTGAAGAGTACCTGAACTTAACGATTTGTCATTATAATGTTCATAATATAGTAAAAACCCTTGCCATCAAAGGCAAAGGCATTTTGGGGGAAATCCAAAGAAACTGGGTCGTAAACATTGCTGATCGGCAAGATGTGACGGCAAAGTGTTAATCTAAGACTGTATGTCAAAAGTTGATACATTTATTTATATGAGACACTCAGAAATTTCATAACAAATGCAGGTGTTAAAATCTATCGTGACGCATTTTTGTACAGTTTTTTTGAGTATCTATTCTTTTACTTAAATAACTATCTCATTTAATCATTGCTACTTTGGGTTTTGGTAACTTTGCTCTTTAATCAGTAGTTGGATGAGGATAGTTTGATGTAACCCGCTTTTGTTTTTTCTTTTTTATCACAGCAGTTTAATTTTTATAGTACTCTTTTATTTTGTATCAGCACAGATTAATCTCAAATTGCAATTTTATGTGTAGATTTAAAATTGAAGTATGTAATATGTTTTTGCTTTTGACTTTTCACAGAATGAGAAACTGCAAGTAGAACAGTATAATTTTTATAGTAGGGGCCTACTGTTTTGATTTGGGTTATCGTAGATTAATATAAAACTGCAATTTCACCTGTAAATTCACAATTGATGTATGTATTGATACTTTTTTACTTTTGTCTTGTCGCAGAATGAGAAGCTGCTGGAAGAACAAGAACTGTTGCTGACACATCTGTTGAAAACGAGCAGAGAGGTAGCCAAAGTCCTGGAGTCAGAGGAGGTCAAGACGAGAGATGACGTGACAGATGTCATGAAAGACAAATGGAAAAGACAGAGAGAAAGAGAAAAAGAGCTGGAAGGTACCTAAAGTACTAGTAGGGAAGATGCCTTGGTTACAGTATTTTTTTCATTTTGCTCTCTTCGAGATACCACTTGATTTCAGGTTTCTGTTTCGGTTTTAAATCGTATTGAGGTTCAGCTTGACCAGTTGATCATTTCAGGGCTCAAACTTTGCTTGTGCAAAACTCCTGAAAAATATTAAGTGAATCCAGTAAGGGAGGGGGGGGGGGGGGGTTAACTCTTTATCTCTGGCAAGCTACTCCCAGTAGTTCGCTGTTGGAACTGCTGTGCCGGTGAGCCACTGGCAACGGATTGGGCACATTCCTTTAGGACGACTTCTACGTCAAATTTTTTTTCGGCAATAAATAAGTCTCCTATGTCGGGATTTCTTTCATTAGATAAAGACCCATCAAAATAGTTTCACATGTTTTGATTTAACACTTTGCTGTCACATCTTGCCAATTGGCGATGTTTACCACCCAGTTTTTTTTTATTTTCCCCAAAATGCCTTTGCCTTGTTAAGGCAAAGTGTTAATGGCCAAGTTAGTGACGTTTTCGTCAATTTTAGATTTAGTACACAAAAAAAATAGTGGATTTGCCCCCGGCCTCGTAAGTGAAAAGCTAATATGTGTTATTTCGGGAAAACAAGATCATTTTACCACCATAGCTACCTTTCAAGAATGTAGTTGTAAAGTGAAGAGCCATAAAAAAATACAAATATGAGATATCTTTTCAAAACTTGTGACGAAAATTCAAAATAAATTTCATTTTCTCCAAATTCCTGAGAAAAAAAATGCAAATATAATACATTTTTTCAGAGCTAAAGAAAAACCCCCATCAAAGTACAGTCAAAATTTCCCCAGACGACTACCACTCTTTGGCGAGGAGAAAAGTGATCATCTTAGATAGGTGATCCTTTTTGACAGTGCCTTTGTAACATTTTTTAAAAAGCAGGTGGTAATTTGTACAGGTAATTGTCTTGAACAGGTGGTTTCTAGAGCTTTCAGGTTGGACTGCTGTTGTTTTTCTTTTTAACATTAAAAATAAAAAAAATATGTGTGTTTTTCTTTTTTCAGAAGTGAAGAGTCGGATTGCGATTAAGTGTGTTTTCCTTTTTTTTTTTACAGAACTGAAGAGTCGGATTGCGATGAAGGAAGTAGAGATAGAGAAGGTGACAAAGGACGTGTCATGGTGGAAATCGTTCAGGGACTCGGGCCAGCACAAGCAACAGATGCAAATCAAGCTGCTGGAGCAGGAGATCAGAGACATGGAGAGCAGTTTTGTGGACATGGCAGGTGGGTGGGGCGGGGGGTTGGGGAGTGGGGGTGGGGGAAAGAGTTGTAGTTAATTTAGTAATGATAATAAAAATAGTATTGATTTGGGGGGGGGGGGGGGGATGTGGTTAATAATGATAAAATTAATAATACCATCAATAACAATGATAGTAATAATACTGATGATAATGATAGTAACAATAGTTATGATAATAATGATAAAATAATGATGATAATGGTGATAATAATAATAATGATTGTAATAATAATAGTTATAATAATAGTAATGATAATAGTAAAAATGATTAATGATAACATAATTTCGAGGATCAATGTCTGACGCCACCCAATTTATCCGCAGCATAGAATATTGCTATAATAGAAATAAGGATTAAGATGATTTGTGACTTTTGCTACTGTTAATGAGACCAAACCTGGCATTATTGCATTATTGTTGATTAGAGTTGTAGTTATCAGCCATTTAACTCAGCTACAGCACTACTGAAATCTCGATTCTAGTGGTGGTGGTCGTGTGTACCTATATATATGTGTGTGGGATTTGATCTTTGGATTTTTATTTGTGGACGGGGGGGGGGGGGGGGGGGGGGGGTCTCTTAAGTGAAGACAATTCTAACATCTTTTTGACGTGGTATGGAGTGTTTGTTTCAGTGTCATGTGTTTTTTTTTGTTCTACCTTTCCTTACAGCTCATTTGACAAGGGACAAAGATCAAGCTATCGGAGAGATCGAAAGGTACACAGAGGATACGTTATCCCAGCAGAAGGACAAGGCCTCAGAGGTAAGTCGGATGTTTGTTTTTTTTCAAATTAAGCTTGCGTGAGTGTGAAGCTGTAGCTTGCTGCTGCAACTTTTGGTTAACAAGTAATGATAATGTCAATCATTTTTATATTTTATTGTCTTCCAGGGCAAGATGTTATTATTGCATTTTTATTGATGTGGTGTTAGGGTGGAACTGACAACTTAAAATAGAAATGAACTTTTGTTTGCAATAATTTTAGACATTTTTGCATGAAAGCTAGGGTTACGGAATAGCAAATGACTTCAGTGCTATAGTCTTTTAAGTTAAGGTTTAATTGTGTCATTTTTTGTACAAATTGAATTCTTTTTTCGTGACAGGTCACTCTGTTAATTTGCAATCATTTTTTTTATCAGCTCTACTGACAGTTAAACATTAACATCATTGCCCTCGACAGAAAGTAACAGCTGTTGCATGCTGGAGACCCGAGTTCAATTCCTGAGTGGGGAGAATTTATATAGAGTGTCTCTCTTTCACTGCTTGGATGTTATATCCCTCTCAGCCTGAGTTGGCACTGACAGGCAGAATTGAAGCCTGCCTCCTAAATGATCTAAATTGTGTGGATGGGGACTTAAAAGTATATATATTTAAAGATTTTTATTTTTATCTCAACAGAAAGCTATGGCCCAGTTGGACAAGAAAGACAGGCAGGAGGTGCTTGACAATGATTGGTTGAAACGAGAGGTGAGAAGCTTGCAGAGGCTGGAGGATGCTGTTTGTTTTCTGTGTTTATTTGATGAAATGAAAAAAAGGTTTGAAATTTCCACTTTTAAAAAAGTCGTAAGGTTGCAGGTTTTTAAAATTTTTACCTGTGTGCAAGTTAAAAAATAGCTGAAAATGGACAAGTGATATTGTCTTTTCTTTTCAGTTTTCTTGGTTTTCCACTTTCGATAAAGCACTAAATTTGGTCCTGTTAGTTTCACGACCTACATATCCTCAACATTACGGAAGTCCAACAATATAAAATAACATTTCATTGATCTCCACAAATAAGAATTTGCCAAAGCACTCACTCTCTCACACACACACACACACACACACACACACACACACACACACACACACACACATACACACACTCACACACACAAATATCACACTCGTACACTTGCTCGTACACTCACTCGCTCACACGCACAAAAGCATACAATGACTGATTAATAGCTTTCGTATATTATTATACTATTTATTGTGCAGGTTGCAATCCATCGCGTTGAGACTGACAAATGCAGGGGATTTGTGGAGGAGTTGGAAAAGGAAAATTTGGAACTGATGAGCGAGCTGTTTGAATGCTCTGTGGAGGACCTCAAGATCTCCAGGTTTGTAAATTTTGGTATGGGCCTAAAGTCATACATCTCTGCTTTATTCACACTCCACTCTTGTGCTTCTTTTGTTTTCTCCTTAGTATTTGTAGTCAACATATTGTCTGAAGTACCAATGTCTGTAGTGTAGTGATTAGGTGCTTTTCTGGTGCACATGGAAGAGCTGAGTTCAATTCTTATCTGGGGATATGTTTTTTATGGAGTATCTTTAGTCCTTCTGCTGAGATGTTGTGTCCCTCTCCGCCCAGATAGGTCCTGACAGGCAGGGTCGATGACTGCCTCCTAAATTATGTAAACCGGGGGCGTAAAAACTCAACATTTTTATCATCTATAGTAAAATGGTCAGGCTCTGTGCCATTGCACTTAGAAGTTGTGAACTGAATTATTTAGCGGGGGAAGTCTATTTTGTTTGAGTTGTCCATATTTCCGCAGGGGTACCGTATTCATCTTTGCCCAAGCTGGCACTGGTGCCATGGTTGAGGTAGTTTGTCTCCTAAATGTTCTTACCTATGTCAATGGGAACGTAACATATTTTCAATGATCAGGCTACCATCTGTTATGATACATGGAGCATATTTTACACCTCACAATGAAAAAGAGCAAAAGTGCAAAAAAGTGAAATTACAAGTTTTATTTATCATGTGTTGAAGAAATATATGGAATTACATTCTGAAATGAAAGAGCATAGTGGATTGTTAAATTTAAGTTATTGTTATTCTACGTTATTGCTACTGTTATTAAGAATGTGAAATCAAAGTAGTGCACCCACTGGCTTATGTAAGAAATCTATCACGGCCATAGGCTGTCCACAGCTTGCAAACCACCTTTAGCTGACCAAGTCCCCCTTTATCAACTTCTTATGCTGATTTTATGTAAATTTACATCTTTACACTGAGATAAACAGAATCTGTTGTAAAGGTTTCTCAAGGAGAATGTAAAGTAAAATATTCCTGAAAGAAAACTGCTTGGATGAATGAAAGAGGGGAAGAGTGAATGAATGAATAAATGAATGAATGAATAAACTTTATTATCTCTAATTAAAAAGTTTACATCTTCATGTAAGCTTTCTGACCATACATCACTAGTAAAGGTTCATTCAATTTTATTGTCTACATCTCAGAATGCTTTTAACCTGCTTGAATTTCCATTTACTCGTCTGTCTGCAGAAAGTTCTACCTGACTCAGTTTGATGACTCGGAGAACCTGGACAGAACTGGTATCCTAGAGATGGACCTGTCCAAAATCAATGTGCCGTCAGAAGAAACATTGGCAAATAAGACTGCCAGGACAGATTCAGGTAAATTCAGTCAAACCAGTGGCGTTGGTAGCCTAGTGGTTAGCCTGCCGGACTTACAATCTAGAGATTGGGGGTTTGGGGGTTCGAGCCTCAGCTTGGTCCAACGTTGTATCCTTGGGAAAGACACTTTACATGATTTTCCCACTTGGCTCGGTCCTTTCGGAGATGGACGTTAGACTCGGAGGTCCTGCCTCTTAAATAACCTAATAGTGTTGATAGGGGTGTTAAACCTATACCATTTTACCATCAAACCTGTTCTAACGGCCACCTGTCCAATCACTTGTACAAACAACCACTTCCCCTTCCCCACCTTGCTTTTTCACTGTCTTTATTGACACTGTCCAAGATGTCTACCTGTCTAAGACAACCACTTTTATCCTTGAGAATGGGTGGCTGTCTCAGACAATTTCAACTGTTGTCAGATCTGACTTGCACTTTACAACATTTCTGTCCGTATTTGTATTTCTTTGTTATGTCCCCTTGGGTGAAGCAGAAGTTTTTGTTTCCTTCATCTGGCTTCTATTGCCTAGAAAACTGATGCAAGGGAAAGAACTTTCAAATGTAGCTGTTCTCAACAACACACTGGAAATGAAACTTTAGAACCGAATGAAAGTTGGATTGATTGCATAATTATGCTCCATGTAAACGTACACATTGATGGATTAACTTGTTATTATCATTGCTCACATCAGTATTATGATACAGTTCTATTCTTGTTGGTGTTGTAGTTGTTGTTGTTGTTGGTGTTTACTATAAGTGAGAATCACAGGGTTCCCATTTGTCTAGGAACAAGTACAGGGGTAATTTTGAAAAGAAAAACAGAGCGTAAACCACACTTGGACGTTGACTATCAGTGAAGAGATACCATCCAAACTCTCATATCTGATTAAGTTCTAGCTTCTAGCTAAAGCATGTCTCTTGAACTTAAAAATCTCATTGCAAATTTCTGAAATTTGGCTTTTCACTTACTTTTTAGAATTCTTTTTAAAGATAAATTCTTCAGCGACTCCTGTTTGATATTTGTTTCACTTATGGCAGATTTTATTGATGCAATAGTGAACATTTGATTTAGTAACTGTATTTTGATTTAGACATAGGTGACTGAGGCATAAACGCTGACCGCTTTTATTTTGTCTTTTCCTCCCTTTTCAGTGCGCCCCAAGAGTGCAACACAGCAAGCGGTAGAAGACAAGGTGTTCTCCCTGATGTCGTACAGGACATCTCTGGATGACACACAAGAGGAATCAGAAGGAGGTACCTCTTGATTTTCTTCCCACATGTACTCAGCTGTGTGTAGTTTTGTATCCAAATACTGATGAACCTGTTCAAACCGCCACCTTTCTAAGACAGTCACTTATACAAGTGACCACTGCGTACTTCCCCTTTGTGTTTTTTTCCTGTTTTTTATTTGTATTACTTGTCACTTGAATAAAAGCATGATCTAAAACTAACACTGTAAGGCTTACCAGTATTTTTAAAATTTGGATCGGAAATTGAAGTAAATATTTTATATATGTGAGGCAGCGTGGTGGAATCAGGCTCTCGTCAATTTTTGGGCATGTAGAGTTATTGGTATCATCTTAAAGCTTGTTCACTTGTTTTTATTTGGATTAAAAAAATATCCGTTTATCTTAAATACAAGTCGAGATATTTGAGAATGAAGGAGGTGGGGATCACCTGTTTTCAGAGGTAAAATTAGTGAGAAAATGGCCGCCAAAAATTACTTATTTCCTTAGCTTAAGAATCCGTAGTAAATGAAAGTTTTCATCATTTGTGCCTTTAATCACCGTTTTTCAGAAAAACCCTCACAGAAATGAGTTCTTTAATGGGCATGAAAGGTGTTGAGCCCAAAAACTAAAATTTGATAAAAATTCACAAACCTGCGGAAAAATGCAAGTGTCTTCACTTTGATTTTTTTTGACGAGAGCCTGATTCCACCATGCTGCCTCACATATAGGCTTATCTTAATTCCCCCTCTAATTGAATGGGCACACTGAAATATTTGTGCAGTTGTATTTTTGTATAACTTGACGGTTTCCTAGTGATTTTGAAAAATACATATAATGATTGAAGCTTCTCTGTAAAAGTAGTTTACTTTTAAGTCTCCATGCCATATTGCTTTATCTTCAGTTCTCACTCTTACCTTATGACCATTGTTTCTTTTTTTGTCTCCAGAGGAATCTGTCCATGATTCTCAAAGTGATTACTACGAGAATTACTTTTTTGAGGAGGAAGACTTTGATGTAAGTAAACATTGCCAGATATAGTTGGCTCTCCAGGAAAGAAAGTCTTTGCCTTAGTCAGCCATGTTTCAGAATATTTGCTTACTTTTCGCCCTTTGTAAATTATGAAGGTTTTCAGATGGGGGTTTGATCGTGACTGTCGTTTGGTTTTGTTCGTAATTTGAAAGCAAAATTTGACACTTAACTGTTAGACGAAACCAATTTGCAGCTATTTTACATGCCTCTTGGGGTTTGGGTGTTTTAAAGACAGAAGGAAGTAGCGGAAGATAGATAAACATTTTTCTTCCCATCTTGATGAGCCTTTTGTCACAAAGTGTGATAAAGTAAATTGCAATTGCACAAGAAAGGATGAAAAAGCTGGTGCTGATATTGGGTTATATCTGAAACAAGTAATTTTTTTCAAGAAAGTTAAAGAATGAAATTTTTTAATTTAATGAATGAAACAGAATTTTCAGATCATAAATTCATTGTGGTTCAGCATCTTTATTGAATGTTTAAGGTTTTTATTTCGCACTACATATATCTAAATGTAATAACACTTTATACATCTTATCATGTATATTAGATCTCTTTTGATGCAGACCAAAAATCCTTGATCAGCCCAAACAGATTGTAAATCCCTCACTGAGTTTTTTAAATTATCTTATATAGACCTTCCTTGATTTGTTCAAACGACAAATTTGATATTTTTAAAAACTCCCTTAGCCTCCTACATTTTGAGAATAAATCCTCTCAAGTATTTTGTATTTTTCTGAACTTCCTTTTTGCCTTGTGCGTTTTCTACACCATTGTATCTCTTTTTTATTTTCCTGTCTAAAGGATTATTTGAAACTTGGTCCCTTGGAGCTGAAGCTGCTGAATGTGACGGGGAGCCAGGTACCGATCCACGAGGCCCCTATGCCTTCCCAGGAGGAGATCGAGGCGAAGAAGTGGAACCCGGAGGAGTGGCCAGTCACATCCGACATGCTCAAAGGCTGTCTGTCCAACAGATGAAATACACAACCTGAGAGTGTTTGACTGAGCAGTGCAATGAAAAAGGACAAACATTGAGATATTAGATGTAAGACTATGCAATATGAAATATTAGCGCTGGAATTGTAAGAAGAACGAAGATTTTAGTTGTGGCTAAAAGCGAGTCAAAGCAATGAAGGACATAGTTTTCCATTCACAGATAAGAGTAATTGTTGGGAAGATGAAAAATAAGAGTGCCAGACAGCAGAAGGTCACCAATCAACCACCTGCATGAGAGTAACACTGTCAGCTGTGTGTGAAAACATAGATGAGATTGTAAAATTAAATGATCTCACCCTGACAGGAGTTGGATATCAAAATGATTGTTGTCATGACTATTTGCACTTTAATTGTTGACTGTAGCTTTGCTCATTTGTTTACATGCATGGTTCAGAGTCATGACTTATTTTATTTGAAAAAGAGATTAAAATGCAAAACTATGAAGTCTGGGAAATATTTTTGACATATTCCTCTGAAACTGTTTTTGCTATGATTTTTTTTCCTCTGACCAGGGTGAGGGTAGAGAATGGGGCCGTGGAGTTTGTGTTGTATGAGAGAAGCATAGAGTGGAGAAGTGCTTACCAACCTGGGCAATATCGCGCACAAGTTTGCATTTGGTAATTTTGATGGGTGGTGGCGATTACCCTGGTAGTGACAGGTGTTAGTTAGAAATACATGTTCGTGGGCGATACCAAAAATTGTAACCTTTTAAAGGTGGCAAAAGTAGGCACTGGCTATAAAAAATTTGACGTGCACAGGAGTAGAGGGATCGTAGCATAGGCAAACCGGACTGCTAATGTTCTCTATAATTACTCTCTGTTTTTTGTTTATAAGAAAGATTTCCTCTCAGGGCAGCTCACCTTGTACAGTTTTCCTGCTCTATTTCTGTCATGTAAAGTTGGTTTATTTTGAATTTAGAAATTTCAGCAGCTTGGCTTTTGAAATTTTTAGGTGATTTTTTTTAGCCTGGTCTTGCTGAATTTCTTTTTTGTCCTCACTTTTTAAAATGGGATACAACATGTAGTGTTTATAAACCACCATCTGTTTTGTGCCTGCTTGAAGTCTTTTGATTTAATATACCTCAATAGGGAAATGTGTGTGGCTGCAATGGTTTTATTGCATTCACCACACTTTGGGAATAGGATTTGATCCAACTTAACTGATTGTAACAGTCATTTAAAACTAGTTTTTAATGCAGGATGTTTCAAAAGTCACTGGTCTGTTTTCGTATGTGTTTGTTTACAAAAGAAAACTGGCTACATTGTTCTCAAAACATCACATCGGAGTTGTTGTAAACACTTCCTCGTTTTCATTTCATCTCTTTCACTGTGAGGGTTGATGTGTGTTACTACGAAACTAATATAGAACAATGCAGTGTGGTGACTTTTGAGACACTTTTGTGGTGAGCGCTCGCATTCCTCTTGACTATCGCGAGTTTAAGGACATTTTTCTCTTCTGGGACATTTGACTAGTTGGGCATGGTGAAAAGAATCTGGTGAAGTCCTGATTAGAGAGTGGGTTTATAACTGTACAGTTACAACTGTGACCCACCACACTGAAGTACGAGTGTGTGTTCTGTGCTTAAGGGGAACTGATTTGTGAAGAGTAATTAAAAAACATAACTGCTGTAGTTGCTTTCTTGTCTTATCTGCACACACCTTGTATGTCCATGGCCTCACAAATGAAAATAGCTCACTCTTGGCGGCTGATGACAACTCTAACCTATGTTGCCCCCTCTGCTAACCTATGTAACTCCCTGGTCTGCTCAGAACTGTGAATATAATCTGTGATAATTATTTCCATGCCAAAACAATATCCTGAGCCAAACATTATTCATGATGTCAAGAGGCAAAAACATATGTACATTAGGCTTAAAGGCTTCACCTTTTTTTATTTGTTTACTTTAAGAGACGTATTGAAGGAAGTTTTTTCAAAAATTCATTTGACAGAGGAAGCTGGGGTAAGATATTGAGGAACTTACTGTGGCATATCTCATCTAAACTTTTTGCTGATACTTTAGAAGAAAGTGTTTTGGGGAATAATTGTAGTCGATGTTGATTTGTTTATACTGAACACATATTTTGAAGAGGGGAGGGGGAGGGGGGGTGTTAGATATATTGGTGGTATGATACCATCTATAAAAAAAAGGACACAGTATTAAAGAAAAGAACCAGTTTAGATTGAGAGTTGTACTGGTGTGAAGCTTGATGAATGAGGGAGGGGGGTATCTGTGATGTACATGTAAATGTATTGTTGTGATATTTGTTTTTTTGTGAGATTTGTTGTAAATAAAATTCAATACCAAGTGAACTTTGTGTTGTGCTTTGGATTTTATTAGCTTATAGCCAAATGATAGACTTTAGGATTAAGGTAGGAACCCAAATGAGAAGTGCTTTACGTATAGATACACGGATAGAGGTATCTCATTTTAAATTCTTTATTCAAGTTCATACGGAACAATTAATAATTAGAGGATGAGAAAAACCATGATCTATCAGGTTTGAGCTTTGGTCATTCCTTCTTTTTTTACTAGTAGTGTCAGTGGTCAAGCAGGTAGGCTCTTGGACTCTAAACTGTAAGATTGGGGGTTTGAATCCTGTCAGGGGCCAAACGTTATGTCCTTGGGAAAATCACTGTGCACTAATTTTCCTCACTTCACTCAGGTGGAAATGGGAATCCAGACAGCGAGTAAAAGTGAAAGATTCTGTCAGTTTGTTAATGTTTGAGCCCTTAATCAAAGTTAATCAGCTGCTTGCACTGTCTGCTTCCCAGGAAGCCGTTTCTGGGTGTTCTTGGGTCTGCTGGGGGTAAAAGTAGTTGTACAGCACATACAGCACTCTGTAGAAAGCGGATAATATGCGGTATATACATACAATGATTACTATATTCAAGGCAGCAGCAAACTACAAAGAAAGTGGGCTCATTGCAACATTCCAGTTGCTGTGGTTGCTTCTAGTTTAATTTATTGCTCTTTGAAACACGATCTAGATTATTTTAAATGCAGACCACTTGGTCCACCATTGGGAGACTGGGCTTATGGGGAGTAATCTAAGAAGGGCGGATTTGAACCTTGACCTTTCTCTCCCAACGAGTATTGCTCAAGTTGGGACGAACTCAAACTGATGAAACGAGTCTGGTGGGGTTGAGGTTATGTCAAAATTAAGACCCTTGATTTTGCCGATTTTGGGTCAGGCTCGAGGAGCTTAGAACTTACTGTAAACTCCTTGGTCAAGCTATGCACATTGAGATGTTGGCTGATTTTTGAAGATCAACCAGTTCTTTGTCTAAAAATAGCATGGAGACAATTGAGAAAGTCTATATTCTCCTCGTAAATTGCCTTTGAAAATATGAGGGTAGGTTAATTTAGTGAATTTTCACAATAATTGTCGTTTTTCGCTAAATGTCATTTTTTTCAGTTTTTTCCTTACTCATCCTTTGGACAGGAAACTTTCAGGAAACATAGATCTAGATGGTAAAGCAGTCATCAATGTAAGATAGAGATATTTGTGAAAAAAATAAAACTTTTTCCATTGGCAAGCGATTACACCTAAACGCAACCTAAATTTAGAAAAGCTTTTTTATACTTTGGGAAAATTCTCATATTTTTTTTTCTTTTGCACTTATTGAAAAAAACTCACTGTACTGCTGATAGGGTCTGGTTCAGGTATACTCTCTCCATAATTGGTCACATTTGGTCAGTAAATAAGAAAGCCTTAGGGATTTGAAATTCATTGTTTATTTCAAGATTGCGGCCGTTTCCATAGCAACCACTGTAGCTATGCCAAAATAAAATTGCGTATCAAGAGATTTTACTATGCCTAACTTGTATGTGTACTTAAATTTGATCTCGGGCGTCAAACATAGAAAATGGAACTCAAGGGTGGCTCCTCCTGTTAAATGATTGTAAATATATATTGAGCCCTCTTCAATACAATCTGGGCCATTTAGGAGGTAGGCTGCTTTAACAATGTCAAGGTCATGCTAGGATTTGTTGATTGCTTCATCACAACTGAATAAAGATGGAGGTACACTTGAAATTGTGCAATAATAACAATAATAATAATAAATAGCATTTGTATAGCGCATATCCCCGCTCAACAGCAGGCTCTATGCGCTTTACACTGCAAGCGCCCCGTCTATATTTGAAGAGAAAAGTGGTTGTTCTTTGGTGGATTATCTTGGACAGGAAGAGAAGTCATAGACTTGACTAGCTACGGTAGATTGAGCTACTGTTGAGCAAGGAAATGCACCCTCAAACCATATAATAATAATATAGGCAAAAAACCCAACCAAAAACAACCTAGAAAAGAATTAGAAAGGAAGAAGACAGGCCAAAAACAAAAGCAAGGGGGAAGTGTGAAGTGGCTGTTTGTTCAGGCAATTATATTGGATAGGTGGTCATTAGAGCAGGTTCGACTGTATGTAGTATAGGCCTATGGAGTAAAATAATTTTTTTCTTATGAGAATCAAGCTCACATCTTTGGTATGGAAGGCAAAGAACCTGGTGATCACACCACAGACAGTGGTGAATCCGAGTTGTCCTCGCTCAACAGTAGCTCACATGGATGTTAAATGTCATCATCATCGGTTCTAGATGGACGAACTATTATTATTATTATTATTATTATTATTATTATTACTTTTATCATAATAATAATAATAATAATAATAATTATTATTATCATTTATTATTAGTTCAAATGAAGATAATTTTTGAATGGTGTATAGAAAAAGAAAAAGATATCACGTAACACACACCAACGTACAAATAGAAAATAACGCAAAGTAATATGCACTTTTTTATTTTTGTAATGTCTTACAGATCAATAACAATGATGATGGAAGTGAAATCAAAACAGTGTCATCCGGTTATGTAATGGTTCAACATTAGCTCCTGACTGTCAGCATTACATGTATAGATCAGAATGATAAACGAGGATAGGATTTAGTCATGTTATTAACGATTTGTGATATGATGGAACCTTGAGTGAAATACGGATTCAAAATACTGTTGCGACAAACTTATTAGAGCATCATAAAGGGCAGAAAATTCAAATTTGGAAGATACAGAAAATGGCATAAGCTGCTCTATATTTTGTCAACATGGTGAGGCATGCTACTCATACAAAGCAACGAAAGAAAAACATACAGAAGCATCAAGAGTTTGAAGAAAGGAAGAAGAAAAGTTTAGTTTGAGTAAAGACAAGCACAATTGTGACGTGATGACAGAAATGACAGAGGGAGAGCAAAGCAGGAATTTTAAGGTGTACTAGTGGGCACCTTCAAACCATGTACGCAAAAAAAAATCAACAACCCCAGAAAAGAATTAGAAAGGAAGAGGACAGGCAAAAAAAATATTCCCTTATCCTTCACAAAAACTAAAAACAATGTATTTATCATAAGTTTGTTTCTTTCCCAGCCTGTAAAATATTCAGCAAATTCGAAATAATGAATGATCTTTCAAAATATTATAAAAGAGAAAGGAATAATGAGTGTTAGAATTGTTACGTATCTTCAAGATAATTCTCTGATGGAAGCAAATGACTTGGTTTGATTATGAGGCAAGAACACATTAATTTTCTTATCAATTGCATAAACCTCAAGCACAAATCATTAGGTGGGTGTGTGCATCACTGAATCTTTCAGCTATCAGGATAAATAATGCACATTTGTACTCATAAATTACGTAAAATATATACATACACGCATAATGTATACAAACTGTATTCACATACAGGGCGCTACATGGGAACCAGCAGTGTTCTGTTCCTGAAATCATATCATAGCTAGTTGTGTGATATCTTGTATGGCACAAAGTGTTGCAAACAAGATATCTTGGCAAACTTTATTCTTGCAAACAGTTCAAGTATGTGTGCACATGCAACATTTCTAATACAGCTCGAAATTAACCAGAGAGACAAATAAAACTTGCCACTTAAAAAATCTTCTCTTTCAACAAAGCCAACATCTCTTACTAACTATCACACTCCCACAACTAACCTTTACTGGTCAGTAAGACCCCCCAAAAAAGTTCCTTTATCCTTTATACCTAGTTTGAATTCTATCTAGTATCTTGACTGATATTCATAATAAGGATTTCCAGCATTGTCTCAGCAGTTCAGAATGTTACAAATTTTATTTGAATCATCAAAATGTCTGTGCGAAGAAACAGACGAAACTGCGGAACACATCCCCCAGCTGTGCAGGACACATGCAGAGCCCTGAGACAGGAAAGGTGGCTAACCCCATTTACACTACAGGAGAAGATAAACATGTCGATAAAGGAGCAACTGAGCTGGACAGCCCAGTATATGGATAGATACCAAACTTCCAGTGTGATGCAATTAAGAAGAAGAAGAAAAGAAGACGTATTTGAAATAGACACTCACTTTACTAACAAGGACATACTGATTGCCTTTTAATTGTCTTTCCATCTGAAATAGACGTGCTTAATTATGTAAAGCCAAGCCAGATAGCAGGTATGGCATTCTTCAATTTAAGGATTTAAAACATGGGTCATACACAAAAGATAAGTGAATGTGAAGCTTTATAAGTATGCCTTGATTTTCTCTTCCAATAAATTAAAAATTATTGAAATAATCTATTTAAAGTTGGACCCATGATGTTTTAGTGCATTTTTTCCATCGTGGGGGACAAATTCTACGATAAAATGATTACAGTTATGGTATCAGCGACAAAATTAGTGAAATGGGGAAGACTGAGTGAGTTTACCACTTATTCTTCATGAAGGAACTTGATAGACAGAAAGATATCTTGGCAAACTTTATTCTTGCATGTCAGTGTGGGATAGTCTCATGACCAATGCAATATCACACACACAGTTAGAGAACAGCAAGATAAGATCCTACTTCTTTGTTTATCTATTCACATAAATGCTTGTTATTTTGTTTCGGTAAATTATGTTATATCTTGAAGGATATCATTGGAAATCAGATGAGCAAGTAAAATAGTCTGTGAGAACTCTGCAGTTTTGTTCTTGCACACACAAACAAACTTTCTATTCAACTGTAGTTCTTCATATGTTTTTGAGAGGTAATGACTTTCTGTTATCGTGTTTATAAGTTGCAGTTTGTTTTTGTTTTGTGCAGCATTTCCCTGTAGAAATAGCGGTTTCAAAAGTAGATACATTAATATCTGAGTCCTGTCACTCTGTGAAATTTCTAGTGTGCTGAGTATACAACTGATACCAAATTAAATCCAGTTGAATCTGATCTAATGTCAACCTGTCCAAAACAATCACCCACACAAATGACAACTTCCCATTTCCCCCTTGTGCTTTTTGTATTTTT